GAGCAAGAGTGAGACCCTGTCTCTACTAAAAGTGAGATTTTTGGATATACAGACCATAATTGTATCTCATTGAGAGCAAGAAAAGTATCACTATCTTCCACTAACTAATGTGCTCTTTATTCATTCAGCATTTATTGTATACTTGATTTATGTAAGGCACTAACAGCTCCAAGTCCTGACACACAGTAGGCACTCAAATATTTGCTGAATGAAGGAAGGTATAGTTTTTAAAAGAGTTCGTGTATCTAGCGAAGAGGAAAGATCTGTCAAGGAAGTATCACAAGGTAGCAGTAAAGGTAAATTTACAAAGTAGCCACACAGCGGTGCCTGAGAGTCTGGTAGTCTTTGAAGTTCCTTGAGGAATTGGGAAAAAGCTTTAAAGCAGTTAAGGGAAAAACATGAAAAAGGAAAAAAGAAGAGAACACACTGTGGGGATCTTATGGGTCTGTTTGGTGGGGGATAGTAGACAACAGGTAAGAGCAAATGAAACTGGAAAAGTAAGGACCGCATTTAGGCTCACAGCTTTACTTAGAATCTCTAAATCGCCAACTTCCAAGTTTGTCTCCCCGTCAGACTTCTTCCCTGAATACCTACCTACTAGGCCTATTTGGCATTTCCACTTCATTATCTAATAAGCATCATAAATATGTGTATTAACATCTAAATGGTGTCAATTCCACACCTCTTAAAAGAATAGGGCATTCCTTCCCCAGTCTTCCCCATTTCAATAAGTAAAATCACCTCTGATGTGTTTAAATGTAACATCCCTTGATTTCTCCCTTTTCTTCTTCACTGAATGGATCACCGAATTAAAACCCATCCATTTCTTTTCCTCTCCACCATTACTACCTTCGTTGAAGCTACTTTCACCATCCCCTAGTCTCCTTGCAGTCATTCTTCCTCGTCCAAACGTCCTCCACACAGCAACTAAAGAACTTTGCAAAAACGTTTATTGTAACATTAAAAGCCCTAGAAACACTTCCTGCAGGAGTCGGCATGATCTTGCCCTGGCAAGCATATCCGACTTCATTATCTCTTACACAGTCACACACTGTGTGTCTTTTAAATTTCTTCTTGTACCTTCGGATCTGATCTGCGCTTTACGGATCCCACTGCGGGGACTGCTTTTCCTTCAGTCCCTCAGTAGCTGGTTCACATTTTTTAGAACTCAGCTCAGACGTCTTCTGTTCAGAGAAACTTTCCCTGACCTGGTCTCTCCTAATGACACTCCATCACTCCTGATTTTTCTTTCATAGTATTATTGCACAGTGCAATTGTTTTATAGGTTTGTTCACTTGTTTGCTGACTGTCTCCCGCCAGAGTACTCCAGAAGAGCAGGGACTGTCTGGCTTGTTAACAACCAAATTTCCAGTAACTACCACAAAGTTCAGCACATTTTAAACACGTTACAAATTTCTCCAACCAAGAACTAAAGAAGCGAATGTAGGCAGACGTCAGAGCAAGTGTAAAGAAAAACCCAGCGCAGCTGCACGTGGACGAGAAGGGACTGACTCCCCTGAGCCGCCCCCCAGCCGGAGGCTGACAGATGACAACGTGGCACCACGTCCCGCACTGTCGGCGCCCAGGTCTGGACACACCGACCCGTGGCTGGGGTGGCGGTGTCCTGTCCCCACTACTGGCTGGGCAGCGGGATGGAAATCCCGAGTGGACGCGCGGGAACCCCATGCTGGGAAACCGGATTCAAGAAGCCGCCCGAGGCAAACAGGCCAGCACAGTCCGCGTCTCCTGAGCGCTCTAAAGTGGGCAGCTTTCCCTGCGCGAACCCCGGGGTGACAGAATAACAAAAAGAGACTCACATCATCCGACTGCATGATGTCGGCGGCTCAGACAGGAGCAGACATGCTTCTTCCGGAAAGTCACTTCCGGGGAAGCCGGGCCTCGGGTTTCGCGAGAAACTCTGAGACTCTCGGGAGGGCACAGCGACCCCTGGCGGCCTAGCGCGCTCGCGCCGCCACGTCACTTACGTCATCTCACGTCATCCCCGCAGGCGCGTCGGCGCGCGCGGTGCTGCTCCGGGCCGTGTTCCCAAACCCCGAAGGCCGCGCGCAGCGGCTGGTGTCCCGGGCGCGCTCTTCTTCCCCTGCGTGCGGTTCCTGAGCCGCCGTGAGGACCGGCTCCTCCCCCCATTTTTATTTTCGCCGGGGCAAGAGGACCTTTACTGATTCATTTCGTTTTTAAAAGGCTTTTCTGGCTCAGCGCTTGTGGCTCAAGTGGCTAAGGCGCCAGCAACATACACCTAAGGTGGTGGGTTCGAATCCAGCCCAGGCCCGCCAAACAGCAATGATGAATGCAACCAAAAAATGGCCAGGCATTGTGGCAGGCGCCTGTG